ATGCCTCATTAGCGACTGTTTCTATGGGCCGCTATACGTAAGCCGTCCGCCATATTGTAATGGTCAACTTGACATCATTCACCATAATAATCACTGAATATTCGAAAGATGCCACAATCCTGCACCGAACGGCTCAATGGCTCTGTGAGAACCTACAGTATGGTGAATGACGTCAAGTTGACCGTTCCAAGATGGATTGGTGTTATTGTTCGAAGTCATGGCTGTTGCATCTATCCTACCTTAAAGGGACAGTTCAAGTTAAAATTAGGATTTGTTTCATTTTTATGTCTTTCCAAACCTGTTTGACTTATATTCGTCTGTGGAACACAAAAGGAGATATTTTGAAGACGGTTCATGCTGCTCCTTTCCATACAATACAAGTGAATGGTGACCACAGGCAACAAGCAAACTTTGATTTCGTTTCTTCTGTGGGACACAAAAGGAGACATTTTGAAGAATGTTCACACTGCTCATTTCCATACAATGAAAATGAATGGGGAGCAAAGCAGTCAAGAACAAAAATCACCATAAAAGCATCACAAAACTAATCCATATGCCTTGTGTACTTTATTTTAAGTGTTCTGAAGCTGTTTGAGTGAGAAACTTAAGAAATTAAAGTTATTATCTACTAGAAATTTTGCTTGATAGCTGTGGTCACCATTCACTTTCATTTTAGTCTCCTCTAGTGTTTCACGTAGTCAGTGATACAGGTTTGGAAGGACACAAGGGTGAGTAAATTGTGACAGAATTTCCATTTTAGGTGTGAACTAAAGCTACGTTTACACTAGTGCGTTTTCATTTTAAAACGCATACCTTTTGCTACGGTTAATCCTGTCGTTTACATTACCCCAGCGGTTTTCGACCCTCGAAAACGGAGACTTTTGAAAACGTTGCAGACCCCGTTTTAGTTTGAAAACTCCGGGGTTGCATTTCAGTGTAAACGGACCAAAACGGAGACTTTTGAAAACGATGGCGTGGCTGGACAACGAATGTTTCTGAAATGCAAGTGTAGGCGAGGATTGTTTTCATTTTAAAACGCTGTTTTAAAACGAATACGCACTAGTGTAAACAGGGCCTAACCCTTTAAACTGCTTGATGAATAATATTGAAACGAAGAAAGAACATTTGTACTACGCCCTTCAACATACTGTATATCGATCTACCTGTTTGCCTGATTTCTAATGTGTTTGGAAGCTGTTGTGCTGTCTTAGACAGAGAATATTAGATGAATCCTCTGAGATGCTAGCTAACCTGCTCACCAAGTGAAAAGGAATGCTGTTTAAAAGATATTTTCAGTCTTTTTTATAGTAATGTCGATTGTCTACATGGTGAAAGTCTTGCTTTCCTTAGAAGGTAAGTTGTGAGAATAAGATATTGAGAAATAAGAAGCACCTTCTTTAAACATTTTTATTCATTGTTTTGATAGCACTACAGAAACGGGAAGTATGTGAAAGCTCAAGTGTGATTTATAACAAGCCCTCCCAACAAATAAAAAATTAATTCCTAGCACAGTATGTTACCTTAAGTGGTCTTAAGGTAAAAGCTAAGTTTTGCATATTCAGTCTCCCAGTGTCATGTTGTATTATGTAGTATGTGATTCTACCAAGAGGGGGCAGTAAGTCCATAGTAAGTCCACACTAACACCCTCAGGGTCATTTTAGTTTGGAGTTGGTCTATTTTAAGTGTCCTATGTTGGTTTTTGCAAACATTTAATAAAATATGCTTCTTTCGACCCGCCATAAAATAAATAATCGGTCTAACATTTATTCAGTCAGGAGTAAGCATCAAGAAAAAGCTCAAAGAATTTTTTCTTTTTTTTGGTTTCGTACCAGACTTTTAACACTTTTTTTTTTTTTTCCTTCTAGGTCTGTGCTTTTTGACTGTGATTGTGTGGATGCTTTAGATTTGGTTTGTCCAAATGTTGCTCTTATGTACACAGTTAAACCATATCGGATTCAGGAGTGAAGCTGCTTCCTAACTTGTCTTAATGGGACAGTTCTCCATTTTCCAATTAAAAGTTAGTTAAACAGTGCCAACATAAGAAAACATTTCAATGAAAGGCCACCTGATGATATCGTAGTGCTTTCAAAACAAATCTGCTCATGGTTTTTTTTTTTTTTTTTATTGGCAAATGTTTTTGGTTTGATTCTGCCAGTGTATTTATGAAAGAAGTGCCAGGATTTATCCTTGTGGCTTGCTACATATGCTCAAATCTATCTGTTGACAATTTTCTTTTTAAAGTAAGGACAGAAATGTAGTGGTCGCTGCATAACCGTTAAGAGTTCAGGATCAGATCTAGCCAAATGCGAAGTGTTTTGCTATAAAGGTGGGCCGCAGGTGTACTGTATGTGTACATTATACATAGACCTAAAGCTTTATGTGCAAATGGATGCTTTTGTGTCAGTCTTGAATGATACGTCTGTGTTTTAGAGGACTCTTTACTCATGAGACACTTGAGATCAGGTTGTCGCCCCATCCTTTCTTTCTTCAACCCATGACAGCCGTCTCCTCCCAGAATTCATTGCTTGCCTTTTGCCATTTGTTTAAAGCATTGTAAGCATTCTGTGCTATAAAAGTCTTTGTTTGTTTTTCAACTCCTAATTTTTATGTATATTGTACAACCTACAGTGCAAAAATAATTGTGTTATAAAATAGCTTCATTCCATATTAAAACAAAGTACATAAACATTTACTATACATAAATTGAAATTTCTGCAGTAAGGAAATGCTTCTGGTGCCTTACAAATAAAATCAATCAAATCAATGTTGAACATGTCAATGTTTTTATTTTGTAATTTGTATGCTTGCGGGAAATAACATTGCAGGTAGGAAGAAATAATGTTTTCTGACAATTTTTTATTTATTTTTTCCTCTTTTTTTGGAATCTACCAAAAGCCTTGTTGATAAAGTTTTGGTTATTACACATGTAATTATCTCACACTTGTACAAAATTTCATACTTAGTGTCATGTTGGATTTTAAGCCAAACAAATAAAAACTTATAAGTGTATATATATATTAATTTACTAATGACTATTCATTAATATACAGCCCTCTACAAACACCTTGGCAATTGAATCGCCATTGGCTAGTACATTTTTTTAGTTTACTCACCAGACTGATAAATATATATATATATATGTATGTATGTGTTTGTTTGTAAAATGGCACGGTTTTATAAATATCTGAAAGTACACTCTTAACATCAGTCAGTCAAGCATTATAATATGATAATCAATATCATTTAATGATAGAACTTTAGTAATTAGAATTAAAACTTGATAACCATGTATGAATGCATATTAGTCATTTTAACTGAACTTCGGACTGGTGGTGGTGCTTTTTTGGTCATTTAATATATATATTAATGAATAGTCATTAGTAAATTAAGAGTTGTATTATTAGAAAAATTATTTATTTATTGTTTTTGTTTGTGTATGCTTAAAATAAACATAAAATGACATTTATTCCCCACTTTAAAACAGCATATTCATCAAATTTAGCAAGATATTTTTCACCTCAAGTTTAAAAGTTTTATATCATAATTGCACCATAAATAAGGAATTAATTGCCAGTAGAGTCATTATAGCACAGATCAGAATCATTGAGAGATAAACACTACACAGTGGCTAACCAGATGTTTCACTAAAGTGACATCCACTGGGTGAAATGTTTGACATTTAACACTTCAGATGAAATCCTCTCTGGATTATGTTAATTGAAAAATGACTTTGGTTCTATGTCAGTCTACGGTTTCATTTACAGTAACATATGGGTTGCTTTTCGTCCTGTGTTTATTTGTGCAATCCAGACATCATGATGTTTTAATCACGGTGCTGGAGATGCTCAACCTGATTTGGTTTCATAAGCCTCCGTCTCAGTCATATCTAAATGTGACAGTGTGATCGGTGGGGTTTTTCTGCATCTCTCTGGTACACACTCTCACACGCTCCCTCGTGATTGTGGTTTTTGAATGACAGTCTGCCCTTGTCTGTGTGTTTGCTGCTGCTGGTAAGCCACAGAGCGCCTGGCAGCTCTCTCTCTCATTCTCTCTTTCTGTCTCAAACTCTCACAGGATTTCTCTGGATCTGAGCCCAGCACTTAAATAAATATGAAAGTGCCCTATTTTCTGTCAGAAGGCTGTCAGAAAGGCAGGATTTTGTTTATTTTGCTTCACTTTCTCGCGTTTAGCACAATGGTTTAATACTTAAAAGCTGTTGTGATCAATTTACAGAGCGGAATGAGATCAAGCCAGCTTTAAAGATTAAAATGGATCACAATATAAAATAGTTGCAAGCATACGGGTGAATGATCTCACAAAGACTGGTTACATGCCCAGGTTACATTTACCCCAAAATCAAAGAACAATCAAACAAGAAAAGTCATTTAAAAATCTTTAATATATATATATAAACATTCATTAATATATTAATCATTATAGTAACACTTTAGATTATGG